TTATTACGTAATATTTTTTACCGACGATTAATGCAAAGGTTATGTAATTATCACGTAACGTACGTTTCATAATTGCTACAGTAAAATTACGTAACTGGTTATATAAAACTAAATAAAAATAACACTTTACATTAATAAAATTAATTATTTTAGAAAATAAAATTATAAAATAAAATTAAATATATTTTTTAATAATGAAAATATATAAAACATATTAATAATATGTTATAAATTACATACATGCTGCCTGTATGTATGTATATATTATTATAAGTCATAAAACTGATAAAGCTAAGTTTCACCAAATGGCTTTTAAATTTTTAAAATCGGTTCAGCCGTTTTTGAAAGGAAAAAGTCTACGTGAGGTAAAAAATTATCAAATTTTTTGAAGATTGAATAGATATTCAAAGATAGATGATTAAATATAATAAATATTATATTATTGTATAAACAAATGATATGTAAATATAAAATATGAAATTTGTTTTAATAATCTCTCATACCAGACACCCCTGACTGAGATATGAAAATAATATATAAATAAATAAAATAAAAAAAAAACAGTTAGGTAATTTTACCGTAAAAAGTATGCAACATGTACATTACGTAATAATTACATAATCTTTACGTTAATCGCCGGTAAAAAAAATATTACATAAAAAATAGTGGATTCTATTCCACATATTTTCTCCAGAATTGGTATGAAACGATTCAGAATGACTTAAAACGTTGAGAAAACAAAATTGGAAAAATAAAAATGAAACAAAAAGATTTAAATAATAATACTTTTGAAATGTAATTTATTTTCTTTTATATTACAATTACAGTATGCAAGTATCTTTTATTTACAAATATTTATATAAAAGCGAAAAGCAATTTCTCAGAAAAGCAATAACAATCGATAAATGATAATTTACACATGAGATGGATAACCAATAACAACATGAAAAATATCAAAAAGTCATATTCAACATTTGGAATAATGTAAAACTACATTTTTTAATATATCAATAAAAGTATTTTGATTTAAAAAGTGCTGATAATTACACTCCATTCAAAAACAATAATAATAATGACAAAGAAATGTTTTAATAATTTTTGATGCATCTAATACTAGGCATAAATAAAATGATCAGTGTTGTTTTTTTTTTATTAATTTGCTTAAAAGTATAATCGATCCCTGTCTATTATTATATAGCACTAACTAATCGATCCTTTTCCGCGATTGCTTAAGAACTGTCTAAATTAGTCTATATCTTATCCTTTAATTTATTATTGGCATTACTAGAAGTATTTTAAAAACTCAAAAAATACTTTGATTATCTTTAGAAAAGAGTAATGCAAATTTCAATCCTCGTTTAGATCGAATGATAACGATCCTTTTATCGATGATTGCTATTGTGTCTCCGCAACTGGTTTCAGTTCCTTAATTTGTTTTATTAAATAGGCTTTTTCGTCGTTGAATTGTTCATCCTCGGATCTGTCTGTGTGGAACTTTGTTAGGAAATCAACGAGCTTGTCTTGATTCCTTAAAAGTATGTCCAGGATTGGTTTTGGCTTATTTGGATTCGCTACAAACACCTAAAGGAGAAAAAATAAACTAGAATGCCCCGAAAATTACAAAAGGAAATAAATGTTCTAAATGCATATCATGCAATTTATGGAAATACTAAAGTCCGCATTTCAATTATAAATTAGGCAAAATTTTAATACCCAAGTGTATATAACAAGTTTTACTAGATTTAAGTAAATTTTATCTAGATTTTACTAATGTATTATACTTAATGTCCCGATAGAAAATTAAAAGTTATTTGAAAAAATGTAAAAAATGTCTAGATGCATATAACGCAAATGATTAAAAATCCGCAATTCAACTACGAATTATTCAAAATTTCTATATACAAGTGTATATAACAGTTTTCACTACGTTTTAGTAAATTTTATCTGGTATTTACTAATGTAAATAAATTATTATGTCCAGAATAAAAATTAAAAGTTATTTGAAAAAATGTAAAAAATGTCTAGATGCATATAACGCAAATGATTAAAAATCCGCAATTCAACTACGAATTATTCAAAATTTTAATATCCAAGTATATATAACAATTTTTACTAGATTTAGGTAAATTTTGTCTGTAAACTACGTATGAATACGTTTCGACACGGTATGTGTGTCATCATCCAACAATTTTTTAAATATTTAATAACAGTATCTAAAATAAATGTAAATGTATTGTAAAATGATGTAAACAAATTATAATGTCCAGAATGAAAATTTATAGATATTTGAAGAAAAGCAAAAAAATGTACCAAATCCATGTAGCGCAAACTATAAAAATACTAAAGTCCGCATTTCAACTACAAATTATTCAAAATTTTAATATACAAGCGAATATAATAATTTATACTAGATTTTAGTTAATTTTATCTAGCTTTTACTGATGTAAACAAATTATATTGTCGAGAATAAAAATTGAAAGCTATTTGAAAAAAAAAAGTAAAAAAATGTACCAACTCCATGTAGTGCAAACTAAACTGTATAAAAATACTGAAGTCCGTATTTCAACTACGAATTATTCAAAATTCCAATATACAAGTGTATATAACAATTTTTACCAGGTTTTAGCAAATTTTATCTAGTTTTCACTAATATAAACAATTTATAATATCCGCAATGAAAATCCAAAGTTATTTGAAGAAAAATAAAAAAAATGTCCTAAATCCGTATATCGCAAATAGTCAAAATACTAAAATCAGCGTTTCAATTCCGAATTATTCGAAATTTCAATACTAAAGTGTATATAACAGTTTTTGTCTTATTTTTGTAAATTTTATCTAGTTTTCACTAATGTAAACAAATTATAATGTCCAGAATAACTAGCTGTAAGTGGAATTCTGTCTTGAGGCAATTATGGCATCGTGCCTTGAGACAAATTGCTGGAACTTCCCGTACCGTAACGAAATATTCGAGGAATACTGAATGTTTTCAAATAGATTATTATAAATATTGTAACATTGTCTAATATTTATAAGAATTATATAAACTGAATTGCAGAGTTGAAATTATTTATAAAGTATATTAGAACTATAGTCAGAATTAAAAATAAAATCTGGAATATTTTCGATATACAAAAAAAAAAAAAGTTGGTACAAATTTTTGCAAAATCAATTATTTTGTTAAGACAAGCTGAAAGTTCTTTGAATCATTTAAATCGGACGCTTATTTCTCTCAAAAACTGCCATTTTTTACATTTTTAGCTCCGTATCTTCGAAATGACTGGCCTGCCTTTGCCAAAAACTAATAAACACTTCTCCCAATCATTACTAATTGAATGTTTTTTAGATCATTCAAATCGGATACTCCGTTCTCTCAAAAATTCGATTTCTATTTTCTGCACTCTTTGCTCCGTATCTCGGAAACGGCTGGACCTGCCTTTGCCAAAAACTAATCAGCTCTTTTCCCTATCAATAGGAATCGAATGTTTTTTGAACCATTCAAATCGGTTGATCCGTGCGCCCTAAAACGTGACTGGAAATTTGTATCCACACATACATACACACACACACACACATCCATTTTTTCTGAGGTATGCCAAAACGTTCAGAAACCTTCAAAACGTCGAGAAATGTAAAAATTTTCAATTCCGATTTTCGGCCCATTACAATAACTTACCCTACGGGAAGTTAAAAATTAAAAGTTATTTGAAGAAAACTGAAAAAATGTCCTAAATCCACATATTGCTAATGATCAAAATACTATAGTACGCATTTCAACTAAAAATTGTTCAAAATTTCAATATCCAAGTGTATATAACAGATTTTACTAGATTTTAGTCAATTTTATCTATTTTTTACTAATGTATACAACTTAAAATGTTCGGAATAAAATTTTTGAGCCATCACAAAACATGTAAAAAAATGTCCTAAATTTGCTATACTAAAATACATAAAATCACCAGAACTTACCTTAAACACATGAAAAGCTTCAAACTGAATATTCCTTGATTTCTCCTTCAGCATATTCATCATTAATTTCAAATTATCAGGATTAGATATATATCTTGTCATAACCTGAAATTTAAAATAAATCATATGTATATATATATATATATATATATAAATAATATATATATATATATATATATATATGTATATAAATAATTTTTCTACTTACTGTGAAATTATGCCTATCCAAAAGCAGCTCACCCAATAGCTTTAAACTTTGACGCCTGGTGACATAATTTTCAGAATTTAATAATCTTTGATAATGATTAAATACTTTATCATAATTTGTTTCAAGAAATTCGGCACACAGCATTTTGTGACGTGTTAAAAGCTCCTAAAAGATAAAAAAAAAAAAATAATACAGAAGACAAATATAGATGAGATAAAATAATTGGTTGTATTTACTTTAAATGTGGAAAATGCATCAGATGCAATATCAAAAGTTGAAACCTCAACATATCGAAAGAAGTTGAAGAAATCTTCAGAATGGAGCATTATTTTGGCAAGCGCTTCGTATCTTGCACACTCTCTTAACATTGTTCCACAATTCAAGGCGATTTCTTGGTGCTCATATCTAAAATAAAATAAATATAAATAATTGATATAAATATTTTTATAATATATATCAATATTATATATATATATATATATATATATATATAAATATATATAATATTGATATAATTATTTTATAACTTACCCGGTCATCAATGTGAATAAAATCTCTGGTTTGGTACAAATGTATTCCACTGTGGGTGATCTTGTACCAATTTGTCTGCGTAAGACATTATTAAAAACCTGAGCAACATCCTTTTTGCCTTCGAAGTCAATTCGGCTTAGATTCTGTAAAAGATACATACACCATAAATACTTACTGAATTATATATATTACATATATTATATATACATACATATATTGTAGAGCTTCAAACAAAGAATCCGAAAAGTAATAAAAAACAAAAAAGTTTTTTAAAAAAACAATTTCATTATTTATTTACTTTGACTTAAAATCTGTGTGTATATGTGTGCGTGTTGCTTTTATATATCAGGATATAAATACTTATTATTAATCTCAAATGGACGTCGATATTAATTATTAGTCAAGAAGTGTAAAAAATTTAAATGAGAATCAATCATGTAACCAGTTGTGATCTGATCTAATTTTATTACTATTAGAAGCATTCATAAGTATAAGACAACTTTTCGCAAATGACTTCTTAAAGATGCAATTTTCATGATATAAAATTTTAGGAGTGAAGTTAAACAAGTGGGCATTTTCGACAGAGTGTTGTACTAGGGTACATTTGAAATTTTTTTTGTTTATGGTGAACCACACTTAATTCATGTTGCCTCATTCTTTTGTGTACATTGTAAAAACTTTTTTGTTTTTTATTAATTTTTGGATTCTTTGTTTGAAGCTCTACAAAATATTTACAAATCCAAGACTACCATCTAATACATACATACCTACATACATATACATACATATACATATATATATATATATATATATATATATAATATTATATAGTGAATTTACAATATATCGAATGTTATCAACTTTAATTCAAAACTAACCCCAAAATAATAAAATGTAGACAACTTGGTTTGTAAAAATAACTATTATCTACAATTACACAAAAAAATACTTAATAAACTTATGTTCAAAAAGAAATAATACAATAAAAATGTATTGTAATGAAAATGTTGAACATAACCTCAAATTTGAATTTTTAATTTTATTCTCGATGACTCATAATACTGATTTCCTTTACAGTAAATGTATAATTTAATTATTTATACTGTTATGGGTCATCAAATGATGCTAACAAAATAGTATTTTCAGTATATATCAGATTTATAAATTATTAAATCTGAGCTGTCACTTCAATGGAATATTTGCAAGTGCAAAAATATCTTCATAAGGACAAATGTCACACTTAATATTATTCTAAATACGGTCATGAAAGTAAGACAGTATATACAGTTGAGATTTATTCGTGATATTCAATTGTATCAAATTTAATTGAAATGACATTCCCATACCTGAATTAACAAGAGCAATAAATTGCTGTTATACAATTCCTGAGCTAATTGTGCAACAATTATATCTGTTTGCGGTTCCGCATCTGATGTTCCGTACAACATATTTTTAATAAGCACCTGCAGAAAACGAATAAAAATTAATTAAACCATCGTCACCGAAAAACTTTCCACTTTTCTTTGTTACTAACCAAATTTTTGCTAACATCATCCTGAGCCTTTTCTGCCTTCTTGTCGCCCCGTTCCAGCGAATTGACCGCTTCTTTTAAAGCTTTTACCAATTCTGCCGGGCTCTTTTGCGATTTTCCAAACAGGGGCATTTTTGAAAAAATATTTTATATAAATATGTAACAGCAGCAGAATTAGATCAGTCTTGGAAGACTGTCACAGTTGAATAGTTTAAAAGGTTTTTAACACTTTGTCACTGATTCATAGGTTCGGAATTGATTGGGGGGAATTATAGAAATTATTAGAACACATCACAAGTCGACCAAATAAATCGTATTTTAATTAATTTCTTTATATATATTTACAAGTTATGAAATATGACGTCTACTAGTTGTAATAGTTATCATGTTGTCGGACATTACTGACAAATAAGTCGGTCGGCGGAATGCAGAGGTGAAGAACTTCATGTTGGCGCAAAATTCAAAAATGGTAACTGATCAAATTTATCATTTATCACATTAACAAAATGAGTTTTAATATATACATATATATGTTAAAAATGCCTACAATTTGATTAAAAAAACATATTTTGGAAAATATATACAAATTTTAGCATATTAATGTGATAGGAACTCCATTACTATTTTGCAATTGCTATTTAAACACCACATTAGCAATCAGTTACTAACTTTTATACTAAAAATAAAAAAAGACTAGTAATAATGTTTATGGCCAAATAACGTTTGCCTGGTCAGCTAGTATATATATATATAAACATATATATATATATATATATATATATATATATATATATAGATATATATATATATATATATATATATATATAAGCAAAGATTTAAGCAAACAATATGTTTAAGAAAAGCTTTTTATAAAGTGTTTAAGAAAAGCTAAGATTTTTTTATATAAACTGAATAAAATTGTGGGAAAAATAATGTACAGAAATATGACAATTTAATCAAAATAAAAATGATAAAAACTAGTTGGTTTGGTATTTAGCCTTGAGGCAAGTTACATGAACTTCCCGAAATGTGTAAATAATCGACTTAATCAAAAAAAAAGTGTAATTAATATACTTCATTAATCCTACTTTAAAAAAAAACGATAATAATTTTAGCAAACTTTGACTTTTTTTGGAATTTTTAAAATTAAACTACTTGTCGTTAGGCCGTAATATTACAGTAAGTTCTATAAGACCATGATGTATATCGCCAAAAAAATTTCCATGAAAATCGGCTTAAATTTTTTTTTCAACAGTTAATTACAAGAAAACGGCTCGGTAGATTTTCACCTAAAATTAATCAGTATCATTCCCAAGTAATATCTTTCTAACAGTTTTTGATTTTTTAAAATCGGTTCGGTAGGATGAGCTTAAATGTCGACGAAAATTTAACACTTTTTTTCAACAGTTAATTACGAGAAAACGGCTCGGTAGATTTTCACCTAAAATTAATCAGTATCATTCCCAACTAATATCTTTCGAACAGTTTTTGATTTTTCAAAATCGGTTCGGTAGGATGAGCTTAAATGTCGACGAAAATTTAACACTTTTTTCAACAGTTAATTACAAGAAAACGGCTCGGTAGATTTTCACCTAAAATTAATCAGTATCATTCCCAACTAATATCTTTCGAACAGTTTTTGATTTTTCAAAATCGGTTCGGTAGGATGAGCTTAATAGTCGACGAAAATTTAACACTTTTTTTCAACAGTTAATTACAAGAAAACGGCTCGGTAGATTTTCACCTAAAATTAATCAGTATCATTCCCAACTAATATCTTTCGAACAGTTTTTGATTTTTCAAAATCGGTTCGGTAGGATGAGCTTAATTGTCGACGAAAATTTAACACTTTTTTTCAACAGTTAATTACAAGAAAACGGCTCGGTAGATTTTCACCTAAAATTAATCAGTATCATTCCCAACTAATATCTTTCGAACAGTTTTTGATTTTTTAAAATCGGTTCGGTAGGATGAGCTTAATTGTCGACGAAAATTTAACACTTTTTTTCAACAGTCAATTACAAGAAAACGGCTCGGTAGATTTTCACCTAAAATTAATCAGTATCATTCCCAACTAATATCTTTCGAACAGTTTTTTGATTTTTTAAAATCGTTCGGTAGGATGAGCTTAAATGTGGACGAAAAGTTTTTTTCAAATTACAAAGAAACGGCTTGGCAGATCGTTGCACAAAACTGACAAACGATAGTCCTCACCGAAATACATCAAATGGCTTTTAAATTTCTAAAATCGGTTCAGGCGTTTTTGAGAAAACGTCGATCAAAAGTCTAATTTTGACAATGCCAAAAAGACCATACTGATTTTTGCAAACTTTGACGAATTTTTAAAGCTGAACCAGTTGTCGTAGGGCCGTAATATTTTAGTATGATCTAGAAGACTATGGTATCTATCGTCAAAAAAATAATCATAAAATCGTCGAAATTTTTTTTTTAAAAACTTTATTACAAGAAAACGGCCCGGCCGATCTCTACCAAAAACTAATCAGCACGATTCCCAACCAATATCTTTCGAACGGTTTTTGAATTTTCAAAATCGATTCAGAATTGCGGGCTAAACGTAGACGAAAAATTTTTCACTTTTCTGCCATTTATAAAGAAACGGCTTGGCCGATCGTCGCACAAAACTGACAAACAATAGTTCTCGTCGAGATACATCGAATGGCTTTTAAATTTTTGAAATCGGTCCAGCCGTTTTCGAGAAAACGTCGATTTACGGCAAAAAATCTGTTCACATACACACACACACACACACACACACACACACACACACACACACACACACACACACACATACTTTTTCCAAATTTGGTCTCATTCGATTCAGAATGGCTTGAAACGTCGAGAAAACATAAAATTAGCGAATCGGGTTTTTTGATGAAAACATAAACTTCTCCTTCGGGAAGTTAATAAATGTGTGGATTATATAAAACTAGTTGGTTTGGTATTTAGCCTTGAGGCAAATTACATGAACTTCCCGATATGTGTAAATAATCGACTTAATCAAAAAAAAGTGTAAATAATATACTTCATCAATCCTACTTAAAAAAAAAAACGATAATAATTTTAGCAAAGTTTGACGAATTTTTAAAATTAAACTACTTGTTGTAAGGCCGTAATATTACAGTAAGTTCTATAAGACCATGATGTATATCGCCAAAAAAAGTTCCATGAAAAAAGGCTTAAATTTTTTTTTAACAGTTAATTACAAGAAAACGGCTCGGTAGATTTTCACCTAAAATTAATCAGCATCATTCCCAAATGATATCTTTCGAACAGTTTTTGATTTTTCAAAATCGGTTCGGTAGGATAAGCTTAAATGTGGACGAAAATTTAACACTTTTTTTCAACATTTAATTACAAGAAAACGGCTCGGTAGATTTTCACCTAAAATTAATCAGCATAATTCCCAACTAATATCTTTCGAACAGTTTTTGATTTTTTAAAATCGGTTTGGTAGGATAAGCTTAAATGTGGACGAAAATTTAACACTTTTTTTCAACAGTTAATTACAAGAAAACGGCTCGGTAAATTTTCACCCAAAATTGATCAGCATCATTCCCAACTAATATCGATCTTCGAACAGTTTTTTGATTTTTCAAAATCGGTTCGGTAGATAAGCTTAAATGTGGACGAAAATTTAACACTTTTTTTTAACATTTAATTACAAGAAAACGGCTCGGTAGATTTTCACCTAAAATTAATCAGCATCATTCCCAAATGATATCTTTCGAACAGTTTTTGATTTTTCAAAATCGGTTCGGTAGGATAAGCTTAAATGTGGACGAAAATTTAACACTTTTTTTCAACATTTAATTACAAGAAAACGGCTCGGTAGATTTTCACCTAAAATTAATCAGCATCATTCCCAAATGATATCTTTCGAACAGTTTTTGATTTTTCAAAATCGGTTCGGTAGGATGAGCTTAAATGTGGACGAAAAGTTCAACACTTTTTTTCAAATTAAAAGAAACGGCTTGGCAGATCGTTGCACAAAACTGACAAACGATAGTCCTCACCGAAATACATCAAATGGCTTTTAAATTTCTAAAATCGGTTCAGGCGTTTTTGAGAAAACGTCGATCAAAAGTCTAATTTTGACAAATGCCAAAAAGACCATACTGATTTTTGCAAACTTTGACGAATTTTTAAAGCTGAACCAGTTGTCGCAGGGCCGTAATATTTTAGTATGATCTAGAAGACTATGGTATCTATCGTCAAAAAAATAATCATAAAAATCGTCGAAATATTTTTTTAAAAACTTTATTACAAGAAAACGGCCCGGCCGATCTCTACCAAAAACTAATCAGCACGATTCCCAACCAATATCTTTCGAACGATTTTTGAATTTTCAAAATCGATTCATAACTGCGGGCTAAAACGTGGACGAAAGAGTTTTCACTTCTCTGCTATTTACGAAGAAACGGTTTGGCCGATCGTCGCACAAAACTGTCAAACAATAGTCCTCATCGAAATACATCGAATGGCTTTTAAATTTTTGAAATCGGTCCAGCCGTTTTTGAGAAAACGGCGATTTACGGCAAAAAATCTGTTGGTGCACACGCACACACACACACACACACACACACACACACACACACACACACACACACACATACTTTTTCCAAATTTGGTCTCATTCGATTCAGAATGGCTTGAAACGTCGAGAAAACATAAAATTAGCGAATCGGATTTTTTGATGAAAACATAAACTTCTCCTTCGGGAAGTTAAAAAATATTAAAAATGTTAATAAATGTAGATAGTTTTAAGTAAAGGTTACTGAAAAAAACATAATTAATTGCCGGTATAATTGATTTTTTACTAAATTAAACTATAAAAGTTTTTATCAAAAGAAGTGATTTTATAAATATCTTTTTAGACGGAGAAACAAATTTTGTAATTCAAAATTTCTTTAAATTATGTCTTTTTTGAGTTTGTTATATGAGAATAGTTATCTTTTTTAAAAAAAAATTATCTTTTTGAAAAACTTTTTTGTTTTTTATTACTTTTTGGATTCTTTGTTTGAAGCTCTACAAAATAATTACAAATCCAAGACTCTACCATCTAATATACATATATAAGATTTAGATTTTTTTGATTTCGGAACATGTCATTAATTTAAACCATACTTTTAATGTTAAAAATCCTATTATTTTACATAAAGAAAAAAATGGTGCCCTCAGAAAATTTGCTGAATCTGTTTTTATCTTTTTAAACCCCGTTAATAAACGAAATTCTGCTCTTTTAGTAAATGACACTTATCATAATATTATCATTTTTTTTAATAACAATTCTTCGAATCTTTGACCTTTTTTTAGTTTTAGTCATTTAATTCTATATTTTCATATTTTTAAAATTTAATTTCTGTATTGTGTTTAACTGTCTTTGAAATTCCACTCCTGCATCAACTTTCGTGAACCCTTCGGCTTTTATCGGGTGTTTTATTATTATTTTTACTTTATTATTATGTTTTATTTTCAATTTTGTTAGTTTAAATTTTGTGATTGTTTCGCTGGTGTGGTAGGTATCAATTTTTTACTTGGTTGATTATTTTATTTATTATATTTAAACTTAATATTTTTAAACTTTGTAAAAATTCTTTTAGATACTGTATAAATTTTAAATATATTGCTGAATGATGACACATATACCGTGTCGAAACTTATAAATGAATAGTTCATTATTTATTGTTTTAATATATATATATATATATATATATATATATATATATATATATATATATATACTCTTCTTTTATCTATGTATATATATATATATATATATATATATATATATATATATATTATCCTCTCAACTGTTTACTACCTCTGCAAGGAATTCAAATTTCCCACCAAACTTTACATTCCTCTATTGGTACTTGCATCTTGTCACCATATGTCATTTATGCTTTTTCTTATTTATGTTTGTCGGTTTTGCTTTACTCAATGTTTATATTTAAATAAAACTCTAGTCAAAAGCAACATTTTGATTATTATCACATAAATATAAATGAGAACCATACACATACAATTAGTGACTTGTTAGTAAAATAGTATAAGACTGGTATTTATATATTAATTAAATGGCTTCATCTTCAAGGTAGACTCAAGTCCATCCATATTTTTATTGAAATTGTTAATAATAATAGAGTAAATGGGTTTATTTTGGTATCTTTTGCAGGCATGAGGGGTACAGCAATAAGGTCTGTTGCCCTGCACACCCTGATGCACATTTGATTGAAGATTATCGAGCCGGGGACCAAATTTGTTCAGAATGTGGTCTTGTAGTAGGAGACAGGTAATAAAATTAAACTAGGGTAGTTTGACAGCGAGTTTAATGTATTGAATTTATTCTGAAGGGTTATAGACGTCGGTTCTGAGTGGAGAACTTTCAATAATGAAAAAGGAGGTGCTGATCCATCTCGTGTCGGTGGTCCTGAAAATCCTTTGTTGAGCGGAGGGGATTTATCAACAATGATAGGTAAATGACCACTTTAACACTCTTACAAAGGTAAACATTTCTGGTTTTATATTCCTAAACCTGTTGTTTTTATTTTTAGGTCCTGGAAGAGGTGACGCTTCTTTTGATGCTTTTGGCGCTTCAAAATATCAGAACCGTAGAACAATGAGTACATCAGATAGGACGTTAATAAATGCCTTTAGGGAAATTAATAACATGGCTGATAGAATTAATTTGCCGAAAACAATTGTAGATCGTGCTAATAATTTATTCAAACAGGTAATATATATATATATATATATATATATATATATACATATATATATATACCAAGAATGGTGCTTTGTGGAACTCCAAGCTCTATATTTTATGATTTTCTTAAATAATTTTTAAATTAAGGCTATATATATATATATATATATATATATATATATATATAAAATTGTAGTGTCTGTTTGTAATATTGAAATAGTCCTTTTCAAATTAATTTTTTTTTTTAATTTTATCACCCATATGTGTCTGATGCTAAGAAGTTCTAAGTCCTATGACTGACATACGAGATAATATTAACAAATAGTTCCACAAATTTAGCATGATTTCCTCATTTTTTTAAATTAATTCATTAATAAATACAATAAATAAAAATGGTTTGGTCCAAGAATAGTGCTTTGTGGAACACCAAGCTCTATATTTCATGACTTTCTCAAGATATTTTTAAATTCAAGCTATATACTATATACTATATATAAATAAAATTGTAGTGTCTGTTTGAAATATTGAAATAGTTGTTTTCAAATTGACAATTTTTAAAATTTTTGTTTGTATGTTTGTTTGGGCTAAACTCCAAAACGGCTGGACCGATTTTTCTAAGTATTTTTTGTATATATATATATATATATATATATATATATATATATATATATATATATATTTATGTGTCTATTACCAGGTGCATGATGGTAAGAATCTAAAAGGCCGAGCAAATGATGCAATCGCATCAGCTTGCCTATACATTGCATGCAGACAAGAAGGTGTCCCCCGTACCTTCAAAGAAATTTGTGCTATTAGCAAAATAAGCAAACGAGAAATAGGAAGATGCTTCAAATTAATACTAAAGGCTCTGGAAACATCCGTTGACCTTATAACAACAGCAGATTTCATGTCAAGATTTTGCTCAAACCTTAGCTTGCCGAATATGGTACAAAGGGCTGCAACCCACATTGCTAGAAAAGCTGTAGAATTCGATATTGTGCCTGGTAGATCACCAATTTCTGTAGCGGCTGCTGCTATTTACATGGCATCACAGGTATAATAATAAATCTTACAATATCATAAAACTTGCGTTAATATTCAATTATCCTTTACCCAGGCGTCTGAGGAGAAAAGAAGTCAAAAAGAAATTGGTGACATTGCTGGTGTAGCTGATGTTACAATAAGACAATCTTATAAATTAATGTATCCGTCAGCATCTAAACTGTTCCCAGAAGACTTCAATTTTGCTACACCCATAGATCAGTTGCCGCAGATGTAATAAGTTTTATTATTAGAAGGGTTTTAAGAAGATATTTTAGGTTTCAGCAATTAGTGTATACAATTTCTTAATATTTGTTTAAGTTGAAGTTGAAGGAATCTTGTTAATATATTAACTATTTAATTTCTTTTGTTTTACAATTGTAAAAGGATACTGTATTTGTTATAAATAATTATGTTTAATCAACCGTTGTTTTTTATTTGAATAATAATTAATGCAGATGTGCACATTTAAGCAGCTATCAAAAACTGCAAGAAAGTGAGGTTAGGTGTCAAATTGAAGATGTCAAAGTTTTGAGGTTATGTGCTACTAAAGTGTAAAATTTATGGTTATAACTAGTGTATTTATATTATTAGTGTTAATTAGTTGATAATTTACATTACTATTTATTAATGCTGAGGTTAATATGCGGTATTCGTTTCCAAATAATAAATTTTCATGACAAACGTTCCATACACAAAATGATTCTAAACATGGAACACATGTACCTCAGGCAAGAAGAAAATTCTGAAAATGTACAAATATCCTTTAGATACACCAACGACAAATTTGGTGTCGATAGAGAATTCAATTTTAGTCGAAATGTATCCGAAAATATCACAGTATGTACAGCTAGAATGAACGCAAATTTAGAAAAAGCCTTTTGTAAAAGACTTAAAAAGAAAAAGAAATCTGTGGAACCAGAAGTTACACTACCTGAAATAGATGTAAAATTCTACAAAAACGAGGAAGTTCTAGGTCCTGATGATACTTGCAAAGATGTAATTCATAATCATCAATGTATAACAGCACATGTAATCGATAGAACGTACAAAATCATATACAATCCTCCATGGATCACAACGTTACAACTACCTACATCGATACTTGCAGACTTTCCTGTGTACCCTAATAAACTGGAACTACAATTTCTAACTATGGATAAATGCAAGTTTTTGTGGTACAAAGGTATATATGACCCGGACAAACATAAACCAGAGAATGTAAATTGGATTAGTATAGGCGAAGGCTTTATTATAAATACAACGAACGATGAAATTGGTCATAAATTGAAAGTTGTTTGTGAAACCACTGACGAAGGACCTAAAGCTGAATGCATTTCTGCAAATAATGTTGAAGCTGGTCCTGGATTGTGTCCGTTTGATACTAGACATCTTTATACGAAAGAGAAATTGTCCGGTGATAGGTTAGAAGGGAATTGTATACTGTTTATATAATATTTTTTGTTAATAAATATGTATTGCAGTTTTCGTGTATGTTCTTATAACATACTAGCTGACCTGTATGCTGATAGTGATTTTACTAGAACTGTTTTGCATCCTTATTGTCCGCCTATGCGCTACAAATTGATTACAGAAAACAATTGTTTTTAAAAGAATTATTAGGTAAAATGTAATAGAATATTTGCAAAAGTTTTTCAAGTGCATATATATATATATATATATATATATATAAATAAATAAATAAATAAAATTTCCCCAGGTTACAATTTTGATATAGCTTGTCTGCAAGAAGTAGATTGCAAAGTTTTTGATTCAGATTTAACACCGATTTTAAACACCATTGGATTCGAGGGTGTGTTTAAAAAAAAAGGTGCAAGTGTTGCAGAAGGTTTAACAATATGTTATAATAAAAATCGGTTTAGGTACAAAAAAATATAATAACTTTTAATAAAAATATTGTACATACATATATGTTTAATATTTATTTTTTAGTAAAATAAATAAGTTTGGTATTATTCTTGGGGAAGAAATAAATAAACAGGATATTTTTAAAGATTTGTGGTGCAAAATTGAAAATAATGCTCCTTTAGTTGAGAGGATTTTGCAAAGGACAACAGCAGCTCAGGTAACATAATTATTATTTTGTACATAAGAATATTTTTTATTATATAATATAAAACTAGTGGTGCATGGCATCGTGCCTTAAGGCAAATTGCTGGAACTTTCCGTAAATCTAAATTATTAAAAAAAACTTGGCAAAACTTTGAAAAAAAAAATAGATTTTTGAGAAATTTTTGTAAAAATTCGTCTTTTTTGAAAAATTGGATTTTTTATATGTCGATTTTTTTGTATTATTAGTACGAAACCCATATAAATGTACTTATTATAATAATCTTTATAAAATATCTGATAATACGATGTACATATATCTAATGTTCATTTTTGACAGCCAAATCGTATTATTTTGTACATTTTTTATTAGATCTCCGAAACCACTAGACCTGCATTTTCAAAATTTAACCAGATCTTCATTTCGTCAATACAAGTAAAATGTTTTCTGAATTATTCAAATCGGACGCTCCGTTCTCTCAAAAACTCGATTTCTATTTTCGGCACTCTTTGCACCGTATCTCCGAAACGGCAGGACCTGCCTTTGCCAAAAACTAATCAGCACGTCTCCTTATCGATAGGAATCGAATGTTTTTTTGAATTATTCAAATCGGTTGATCCGTGCGCCCGAAATCGTCGACGAAAATTTGTATCCGCACACACACACATATATCGATTTTATCTAAGGTATGCCAAAATGTTTAGAAAATTCTGAAACGTAAAAACTTTCTAAAAATTTAGAACGATTTTTTAAGGTATGCCAAAATGTTCAAAAACCTTTGAAACGTAAAAAATTTCTAAAAATTTAGAACAAAAAACTCTTTTTTGGGAATTTTGAGTTTTTATAAAAATTGTGAGAATATTTACATAATTTGTTAAAACTTAAACGTTAAATATGCAAAAATTATTACTCTCGATTTTTGGATGATTACTATAACTTACCCTACGGGAAATTAATAAACTAGTAGTGCTTGGTATCGTGCCTTAAGGCAAATTGCTGGAACTTTCCGTACAAAAACTAGCTTTACCAAAAAACCTTTAAATTTTTTTGAAATCTTTGAAAAAACTGAGATTTTTGAAAATTTTGAATTATACTTTGAATTTTTTTGAAAAGTTTTTTTGAAGCAATCATACATTTTTTCGAAGGTATGCCAAAATGTTCAGAAACTTTTGAAACGTTAAATATGCAAAAATTATTACTCTCGATTTTTGGATGATTACTATAACTTACCCTACGGGAAATTAATAAACTAGTGGTGCATGGTATCGTGCCTTAAGGCAAATTGCTGGAACTTGCCGTACCAAAAATTAAATTTATCAAAAAACCTTTACAATTTTTTGAAAAAGATGAGATTTTTGACAATTTTGAATTATACTTTGAATTTTTCTAAAAAATTTGAAGTTTTTTTTAAAGCCATCATACATTTTTTCGAAGGTATGCCAAAATGTTCAGAAACCCCGGAAACGTAAAAATATGCAAAAATTATCATTCACGATTTTGGACGATTACTATAACTTACCCTATGGGAAGTTAATTTTTAAAGTTTGTATAAAAAGTCTTTGTCATCATAATTTATTTCATGTCATTCTCTGAATTTTAAGAAAATTTCTGATATGAAGATCTATTTTTTAAATTTTTTAAAAAGATTTCTTTCATCAATGATTCATATCGTTCTTTAAATTTAGGAAAAAATCGGTTTAAACATCCCCCAGCTTTTGAATTTTGGTAAAAACGTTTTTTCATCGCAAATTAATGTTTTTACTTAATCAATTTTCCTAAAATATTTCCTAAATGTTTTCGGCCTATGAGAAGTATTTTCTTCAACACTTTTTAGAGTCATTTTCAGTTCTAGACATTTAATTTTTAAAATTTGTTTAACAAGTCTTGTTACTTGAATAATTATTACTTCCAGGCAGTTTTATTCGACTATTTAGATAAAAAAGACCACATGCTCTTAGTAGCAAATATACATTTATATTTTCATCCGGATGCAGATCACATTAGGTTACTACAATTTGCTTTTGCTTTGAAATGGGTTCATAATATTCTTTGCGAATCAAAACAACAGGTAAAAAAATACTAAAATACTTTTCAGACATATTTAAAATTAATATACGAATTCAGTTTGCAGATAAAAAAATTTCCTTAATATTTTGTGGCGATTTTAATAGCACCCCCGAATGTGGCATTTATAAATTAATGACTCAACAAAGTGTACCTGAGGACGTACCAGATTGGAGTTCAAGTAAAAATAATATTCAAAAAAAAAACGTATATTTGTGTATTAATTATGTTAATTTTTAGACGTAGAAGAAGCCGTCAAAGGTGTATCTTTATCCCAAAATATAAAAATGGGGAGTGCCTGTGGCACTCCTCAATACACAAACTATACCGTCGGTTTTGCTGATTGTCTCGATTACATATTTTATCAAGACGATTCTTTTGATGTACAACAGGTTAGTATCTACCCCCAAATTTATATTTACAAATTTATAAACTTGGTACTTAATTTTTTACCTCAGGTGGTTCCCTTTCCAAGTTTAGAAGAACTTCAAGCAAATACTGCTTTGCCCAGTATAGTTTTTCCATCAGATCACATTTCTTTAGCTGCAGATCTTAGATGGAAATGAAAATTTTAAATAAAAATACGAAATATATTTGGTATGATTTTGTACTTTAGTAATAAAATAATGAATGAATCATAGAAAATAGTTGATTTTTTAAACTTTTTGTAGGGTGAGTTATAGTAATTGTATATATATATATATATATATATATATATATATATATATATATATATACCAGCATACCCGGCCACGCGTTGCTGCCGCTTTTATTAAAATTTGAATCCGTCAGAACCTTTTGTTATAAAAATTTATATTAATCAAATTTATATTATAAGATAAACATATTTTGTCTACATTAAAATCTTCAATTGCGAATTCTTAGAAAATTACATTAGCAATTTAATATATTTGTTTTGAACGAAATTCTAGTGAATTATTTACGAAACTATCACTAAACCGTAATAAGGTCAATTAATTTATTAGCTATTTCTTTATATAGTCTTTATAAACAGTATCAAATGTTTATGATTGAATAGACAAGAACCAGAATTATTAGTAAAATAACTTTAACATAAACTCGTGGTGTATGGTATCGTACTTTCAGGTGAATTGCTGGAACTTCCCGTACCGTAATGAAATATTCGAGGAATATTAAATGTTTTCAA